CTGTTGCTATTTAAACAAATTCCCTTCCTCTTATTTTTTTAACTTGAGCATTCGAAAAAGCTGTGTCTGTCTGGAGTTTAGTTTGAAATTGCTCGCTGTCTTAATCTACACTGAGAACGCGGATCTTAGCTCAAGTTCTGTGACCCTGAGCCAGGTCCCCTCCCTCTCTGAGCCTCTTTCCTGATGTGTAAAATGAGGCAGAATGGTGAAAACAGGGCTTCCTACTGGGACTGCTGGGACGACAGGTGAGGCCATCCCTTCAGCCGACGAGCATATATTAAGCACCACTGTGTGCTGTGTGCTGTGTGCTGGGCCGGGACACAACTGGGAACAAAACAGACACAGCTCTTGTCCTTGCGAAGCCCAGCTGTGGTGGGGCCATGCGCGGTAAGACTGAAAACCACCACAGAACCATCACAGCAGCTGATGAGCGCTGCGGGCGGTGCGGGGGCCGCAGAGGGAGCAGAGGCCACGCTGCAGGGCGAGCCCCACAGCGCCTGCAGCCACGTGGAAGCCCCAGGAGGGGCAGGGACCCGGGTACTTCGGGGTGTCCCTTGGGTGCCCAGCGAGGAGCCTGGCCTGACTCGGAGATGATCCTGGCGGCAATTTCTATTGGATGGAGTAAGTGCCTGGAACCTATAGTTAGAAGCCTCAGTCTTTCTAAAGAGACCCTCACCTGCTTCTCCTTACCTGTAACGAAAACCCAAATTGTGCCAGCCGTGGCTTCCACAAAGGGGCCGTGGCTTCCGCGAAGGGGCTGGGGACCTCCGAAAAGTCCTGAGGACGCGCCACATTCCAGGACTGGCACACTGCACGCCCCTGCTGACAGCCGCTCCTGACACGGGAGCTTCGCTAGGCAAGTCGGGTCTCAGACATGACAAGAGCATGGACCCAGCGCCCTTATGTCCTCGGGCCGCCGGCCTCGTCGATTCTGGCCGACGTGGCGATCAGTCGAAATCACGGAGTATCCGTAAAGGGTGATCTCTACACCAGAAACTAGTAAAACCTTCCACCTGAACCCAGACTGGAGGTCCGCGGGTGACCCGCTTCAGTGAGCACATAAAAAATTTGAATCAGCCCCTTCTCGTACCTGCCTCCCTGGGGGCCCAGGAAGTTCCCGGAGACGCTTTCTAAAGCAGCTGAGGTCCACCTGGGTCCTCAAAGATGATGACAAACACCTCCGCAACTGTTTCTAGGGCCCCAATGTGCTTCACAAATTGCGTCAACATGAACTTCAGCTTACTCTCTGTTTCGACGTCACGACGTCTCGACGTCACGTGAGTTGGTGGGACCTGAGCTAATGGGGACTTTGTATCATCAGTTCAGAAAGCCACCGAATGCTCTGGCTCTTTGCTCACTCGGTGCCACAAACGATGCTCCAGCAGGGACAGATAAGCCCCTCCCACCCATCAAGTCCGCCTTTACCTACCCTGGTGCAAAAACCCTAATCAACCAGCATATTGGTCTAACTTGGATATATGTTTACAGTCTGCACCGGTACCAGCAACCCGAGCTCCATCCACTTGAAAACACTGCTGTTCAAAAGGCGGGTTCCAGAAAAGGGAAACAGCTCAGTAACAAATGCCGAATACAAAATGGCAAGCTAAGTGCCCAGGGCTCCAAGCAGGTGCACGCCCGTCATCCTGCGGGCAGGGGAGGGGGACAAAGAGAAACCGGACAGCTGCCAGGGACTGGGCATCCGCAGAACGGGCTGGATCTTTGCTTGTTTCCTTTCGAGTCATAACGACGCAGTGTTTGACGCCTTGGGGGTGTAGGGTGGTTTCTCCCCAGGCAGAATGAGAGACTGTGAGAGAGAGAGACGGAGGGAGGAGAGAGAGCTGAATGGGACGCGATGGGGTTCTCGAGTTCCTGAGTCCCGGCTTCGACGAGGGTGCCCCTCTCCCGCACCCGGCACTGCCTCTCCTGCCGAGGGACGATGGCGAGGCGCCTTCCCACGCTCCAAGACCTCTTGAAAAGACAGTTTTTTGATGCAGGGTCCCGGTGCCACGTGGGGGCGGTGGGGGGGGTCTTCAGTATGAACGCTATCACTGCCATTCCGGCAGGAAGCTCCCCGTCCCACGGAGGGCATCCCCCACCTCAGAACATCTCAGATCTCACAGCTACTCTCCCCGATTCTGACGGAGCGAGGCACTGTCCCCGCCCCCACACACCCCGTAACCGCCACAGAAAAGGCCCAGAGGTCACTCGGCTGGACAGTTTTAAAGGAGAACCTCACTCAAGATCACCCCACAAACAGCCCCTATCCCGCTACACACAACCTCTGCCCAACATGCCAACGGCCTGGAAGGGCTGACCTTCGCAGGGCACGCCTGCCGCCTGGAGGCGTCACCTTCTGCAAGGTGTCCTTCCAGAGAGCAGGACTGACAGGTGTCACTGCCCTCAGGCCCCAAATTCTCCACAGTGGGGAGGACCCCGCCTTCCCTCTAAACAGGACTGCTTTGTCCCCTCATAGACGTCTGCTGAGTGCCCGAGCCCGCGGCCGGCCTCACAGACCCCGGCCCTCTCTGAAACGGTCTCCGCTGGGCTGTCCGCCCTGCTCTCCAGAGTGTACGCTCCATGAGGGCAGTGACGCCCACCTGCGTGTCACCGGATGGCCAACGATGAGCGGCCAGCAGTCCCATGAGCCCAGCGTGGGAGGACCTGCTAGCACATTTTTGTGCTCATTCCAGACTTTTAAAGCAGAAGCTGATTTTCAAACTTCTTAATCTAAAGCCCAACATAAAAAACAGACTTTTTAAGCTGAATGGCTCGACTGGAGTGGGTGTCACAGCCCCCCTCAGTCACATGGGCCCCGATACCCACCCAATAGCCCAGGGACACCTCTGGAGCCGGGTCTGAAAACCACTGCATGATTGGAGGGTGTAGACGCTCCCTAGGCAGGGACCATTTAGAATAACACACACGCGGTTCTCAGTGGTTTATCCTGTCACTGGGTGATCCCGAGGACACGTGACCTGGGGAAAGTAACTCCTCACATACCTCTTCCCTGTCAAGGAGACTCTCCCAGACCGGGTCACGCCTTTACTGGGTGGTAACGAATTCCTCAGGACACCATGAGGCGAGGTCATCTCTCGTGCTCTTTCTAGGAATATCTGGCTTCTTCCAATGCTCCAGGGTTTGGGGGCACCCCTGGCTCCCACATCCCCATGGAGGTCATTAGTGGGGCCCTATTAGGAAGCAGGCAGGAGTACTGCTGGGTACCACCAGCAGCGGTAAGGATGGCTACAGACCCTGCAAACAGGGCGGCCATGACATCGGCCAACGTCCGAGGCCACAGAGAGAGGAGACTGCCACTGGCAAGAGAAACTGCCCAGGACGGACGCACTGTTAGCTACCATTTCTTATTTCCAGCACAGACCCCCACACACGGCCCCAAAGCCTCGCGTTTTCCTTCTCCACATAGAAATGCCACCATTCTCAAAAGTGCGGTGGGAGACGTGAAAAGCTCCTCGTTTGCGAAGGGAAGGGAAGGGTAGCTGCAGCCGTGCGAGGGGTGGGGGGTCCTCACCTCGAGAGCTGAGACTCAGTGAGGAAGTGCTTAGCAAGGCTACTGAGGAGCCCTGTTCTAACAACGAGACATTCAGGAAACAAAGAGAATGCCTTTTCATTAGAAGATCGATTCGTTGATTGTTCTAAAAGTAAGCGATAATACCTCATTCTCTTACAATTTAGACTCCATCTCAGTTCTAGGCTAACTGAAGAAATACATCGGCATCTATGATTTTCCCAAGTAGGGCAGAGTCTATAGCCTAGGGTCCTGAAGAGGTCCTAGCTCAGCCACCAAGTCGCTTGTGACCTCAGTCAAACAACCACCTTTCCCTCTCGATGCCTCAGTATTCTAAGATTCTATGTCAGCCACTGTTTCCACCTCTGGCTGAAATATCCCAAATTCCAAATGACTGGGGTTTGATTTGCTGAACCCCAAAAAGTGCAAGTCTATGAGAGTCTTCTTGGGTGCATTGTTTTGGGTACCTGGTCCCTTGAGAGGTTGACAGACACTTGGTCTAGCCAGGGCTGTGCAGGTACAGGCGTCGCTAGAGGGAAAGTCATAGCAATTCGCAAACACTTGGCTTTCAAACTTCTGAGATGGTGTGGAAGGTAAGGAGAGTGGGAGCTTTGAGTACCGATCCACTTCCTACCAGCAAATTGTTCCCCCAAACAGGAGACAGGTCCCCTTTGGAATATGGGCGTGAGATTTTAGATCCTCTCCCCATAAACCGGCATCCAAAGGGTCTCATCAATAATCACAATGGAGGGAGATATCTGGGGATAACTGTGTTAGGGACACAGATGCTCCAGACTCCCCGCTCAGATGCCTGCAGCATGGCTGTCACCCCCAAGGAAAGACTCATGCTCCCATCCCCTGAACCCGCCCACCCACGTTCCCCAGACACACAGTCACATACCACTTGTGAAGTTTTAAACTGCTCCTGCAAAACTATGGCCTTGCTTACCTTCTCTGAGGCACCAAGGAAACAGAGAACACGCCTAGAAGCTCCCAGCAGCTCCCAGCCACTCGGAGGAGCAGGAGGCCAAGCTCGGAGGCGGAACCAGGTCCCTTTCTGCTCGGGCTGCCCCTGACCTCCGAAATTCCCCTCTCTCATCACAGCCCTGCCCGAGCCCACTCCTTCCTTGTGTAGCTTTCCACACTCGGCCGCTAACGTGGCGCTAATGACCTCTTAATTGCTGCATATCCAGAGCGCAGACCCAGCCACTTATGGCCCACGTGGTATGAAGTACAGTTTGGGGGAGCAGGGAGGGGGCACCTCCATCCAATTCCTGCCTGCCGGAAAGCCAGTGCTTTTGTTTTTAATCTTATTTAAAAGAAAGATACAGGGTATCCAAGACACCGCAATAAAACGACATTAACTGTAAAATTACATTATTAATTCTTTAATCTCACTTGAGGCTTCAAGCTGTTGCTATGTCCAATTATCCGTATAACCACCTGTCAGAATCCTGGCGCTATTTAGCATTACCTCCAGGACAGTGGTGGGCCCGGTGGTCCGTCAGGTCTGCCAGAGACTCGAAGTCCTGCTGACAGTGATCGCAGGTGTAAATTGACTCATCCTCCATGTCTTCATCGTCCTCATTTCTCTCCTCTTGACTTGTCACGCTGTTCCTATCTTCCAGGACACGGCTGGTTTTCTGATCACACCCGGCCTCTCCTTCTAGGCCTCCTGCCAACAGGAAGAATACAGTCCATGTCAGCTGACGGGATCTTGGGAAAGGATTTTTAAAGGGTCGCCCAGCATTTATTAAGTTACGTTTAATTACTTTACCTCCCAGAGTCCATTATTATTCTTGACACCTCTCAGTATATTAATATATGGGG